AGGTTCCTACCCAACTTCACTATGCTCCATCCCTGAAGATACCTAACACCTGACTAGTAAATGCTAGCATACCTCCCCTGACAAGGAGCTCCCTACCACTCCAACCCAGATCTCAGCAAGCTTCTCTTTCCCCTAAATGAAATCTGCTGGGGAACATAGGGCGAATCCACTCTCTAGGGCCCCTCCCTGACTCCGGCCACTGACAGCCCCTCTCCCGACAGAACGCACTCCTGTGACTTCATAATGCCTCCCTTCCTCTTTCCCCTTCAAAGCTCTTCAGACACAGAGCACCCTGCTCTCAGCTCTGGGTAGCCCTCTGCTCGTGTTTCCTGATCCTCCAGCCCCCAGAGAAGACAGAGTAGGAAGATTTTCCATTTTTCTCTGGAAGACCAAAGAGGTGGAGTGATTTGCCCAAAGGCCCACAGGGAAGGGTTGACCAACAGGACCTGACTCGCCTGGTTCCCAGCCCATGACCACACGGTCCTGTCCAGAATGGCAGAATGGAAACACTCCTGGACATTTCTCTCCCACCTGCTAAGTAGGTGGAGGGGAGCAGGAAGGTCGCAGAGACACCAGCCTAGCTTAGCCTGGGGAGGGGAAACTTCACTGTTGCTGTGAGCTCAGCTACCTGGGAACGGCATGGCCTGCGGCTGGTGGAGAGAGAGAAAACACTGTCAGTCATCAGAGATGCCTTGGCTGGAGCTGCTTCACAAGAGTGTATGTCCTTGGCTTCGGAGCTAGGTCAGACGAGAAAGCTCTGTGTGTGTGTGTGCATACATGCAGATGTGTGCTCACACACATGTGCATGTGTATGTTTACAGATGTGTACATGCAGGGAGGGACAGTTTATTTTATTTTTTTTTTGAGACAGAGTCTCTGTTGTCCAGGCTAGAGTGCCGTGGCATCAGCCTAGCTCACAGCATCCTCAAACTCCTGGGCTCAAGTGATCCTCCTGCCTCAGCCTCCCGAGTAGCTGGTACTACAGGCATGTGCCACCATGCCTGGCTAATTTTTTCTATATATTTTTTAGTTGACCAATTAATTTCTTTCTATTTTGAGTAGAGACAAGGTCTTGCTCTTGCTTAGGCTGGTTTCGAACCCCTGACCTTTAGCGATCCTCCCGCCTCAGCCTCCCAGACTGCTAGGATTACAGGCATGAGCCACTGCGCCCAGCCTGGGAGGCACATTTTAAAGAGAATCTCAGGGAAGGCAATGCTTATTCCCTTCACAGGAAGGGAGCAATACAGTGGCATCTTGGGCCGCAGGCACTTGGGAGACACCTGGGGAAGTCACCTGGGGAAGACACAGGGAGACACCTGGGGAAGTCACCTGGGGAAGACACAGGGAGACACCTGGGGAAGTGAGCAGATGTGATAACAGATCCTGGGGTCCCAAGCTGGTGTATTTCACAGGCTCCTAAGCACCCAGCAAATGTCTCCCAGGTCTAGCAGGGACCTGGCTATGTCCCAGCAAGGCAGGGGAGAGGGGTCTTCCTCCATCAAGGAGACCCCTCTAACTCTTCCACATAAATGCCATACCAAGGCCCAGAGAGGGGAAGGCAGATGGGTCCATGAGCTCCAGCTGCAGGGCCAGTGACAAAATAAGTTCCTTCAACACTTCTGGGCATGTGATCTTCTGCGCAACTGATTCTCGCCCTTCGAGAGGACTCCAGGAGGCGGGGAAGGGACTGTGGGGCTCTGGGGTCCTGCAGAGGGCCCTGCGGCACTGGCAGGCATAGCTGACTTTTGTCATATTTATTCATTCATCCATTCAAAAATGAACACCTATTACACTAAGCATCAAACGTGTTTCTAGCACTGAGAGTGCAACATGAACCAGTGAGACCAAAATGCCAGCTCTCATGGAGCTTGCAACCCGGGCTGCTGGGTGGTGGTTAGTGCGCCAGAGAAATAAAGTGGGTAAGGAGTGGGAATAAGGTTGGGGGAGGGTAAGATTTCAGCAAAGGCCTCACGGAGAAGCTGATATTTGAACAAAGCCCCTAAGGAGGTAAGGGAGTGGGCCTCACAGACACGAGGGGAAGTGCCTACCAGGCAGAGGAAACAGCGTGCAAAGGCCCTCAGGTGCAACCCTGCCCAGCAAGGTCAAAGAAGGGCACACAGCAAATGTGGCTGGAGTGGAGTGAGGGAGTGTGGGAGGAATGGGAGGTGAGGTCAGAGAGGTACGGGGGCCAGATGGCATAGGGCCTTGGAACCACTGTGAGGAATGGTCATGGGTTTGGGGGGACCTGAAGCTGATGTGGAAAGATAAATCAAAATCACAAATACAAAATCTGGTTCAGGGCCTGCGCAAATGAGCTGTCTGGACATGTAAGCTTTGCTAGTCTTGCTCTAAATCCGCCTCTGGCTATGATGAGAATTTTGGCTCTTGCCTGGAGTAGAAGGGAGGCATAGGACAGTTTTGTGCAGAGGAGTGACATGACCTGACTACCCTCTTAACAAGCTTCCTCTGGCCACCAAGTGGAGGATGAACTGGGGTGGGGAGGGGAGTAGGAGAGAAAGCCACATCACCAGTGAGCAACCTGGACCAGATGGCGGCAGCTGAGGGTAGACAGCGATCATATTCTGGAAATGGCGCTGACAAGATCTGCTAGTGGGTCAGACATGAGGGCTGAGAGGAGAGATGCAGAAGGGTTGACCATGAGGGTTTAGGCCTTGTTGTAGGTTTCAGCCTTCCCCAATTGAGGAAGGGAAGGAGAGCCTCATTGTTCTTGGACCTCATACCATGCAGATCTCTATTTTACTGCTAATCTGCACCCCCTCTGCAGGCAGAGCTTTCATTAATCTCACTTCACAGATAAAGTAACCCAGACTCAGAAAGGTGGAGTAACTTTCCCAAGATCACACAGCCAGTATATGGCAGAACCTGGATTTAAATCCAGGTCTTATACCAACTCCAAAATCGATATCTGTTCTGATGCGCCAGGAAAAGCAAGGTTTGGGGGCCCTAGAGGAATGCTGGGTGGGAGAGGCACTTCCTGGTGGTGTGGCACATTCTAGCAACCAACAAGGGCTCTTGGGACAACTCTATGCTTACCAAAAAAAATCCTGTGAAGAAAGTTCTCAGCACCCTATTCCATGCTCTTCCTCAACTTCTTAAACCTGTTTCTGATCCACCAGCTGAGAGATTTCAGCTGCAATCTTGGGGAGATGTTTTTTGGCATCTCTCAAGTTTTCTTAATTCACTGACAGGGTAATGCCTGCCTCGATCCGTTGTGCACATTTTCTCATGGAGTTTCTACTTTAGAATGCAAAGCAGGCTTCTCTGGCTTAGAAAAACCTGAGGTTCGTGGGATTTAATCTTCGAACAGATTTAGCCCCTAAATAATAAACTGATATGAATTGATGGTCCCAGATGCATCCACTCAACAGGTTTAGTATCCAAATGAGTTCCCCACTCTCACAGAAATCCATATGGCTTGGATTGATATTTTTGTTATTAACACGGATTTGAAAAGCCTTAGCCCATTATTTGGGATGTCCAATTCCACTGTCGTTTACCTAGAACGGTTCATGCCACTTTCCGCTACTACGCCTTGCTTGGAGCTGGGGAGAAACTGACAAAGCAGTGGAAGCTCAGGACTAGTGCATCTTTCACTATCTCGGGGCTTTGTTCCTTTCACACCCCTTCCACACTACAACAGAACCCAGCAGGCCACGCTACACAACCCTTGTCCCCTCTGGCCCTCCCCCAGCCCTCTGTTCCTGTCAAAACCTGCCAGCAGGAGCAGAAATTTGATCTGTCACGGAAGCTGTGATATTACACTGCCCAGATGTTCAACTCACAGGACTGCAGGTTCATGTTACAGCTGATCAGGGCCTGTCTACCCTACAGACCCCATGCCGCGCCCCCCACCCCCACCCGAGAGGCAGGATCCACGGCCCACATGGCCAATGGGCACGGAGCAAGTGGGACCTGCATGTGGCAGGGGCTCACTGAAAGGGCCCCTTTGGGGTCTTCATACCAGTGGCCTAGAAGGCATGTGCTCTTGAAGCCCTCTAGGGCCATCTGGACTGAAGGGTGCCTCTCCACAGTCCTCAAACACCTGTATCTCCTTGCCCTCCCCACCCCAGGGCCTACTTTCTCACCTTGTCAGGGATTTAAAGGGAGTCTGGAAGAGCCTGGAACATTCCACAAGAGAAGAGAACAAACAGCAGTCAACATGGCCAGCATGTCCAGGCCACCCAAATGTGCCTGAATTCTCCCCAGATAAACTGGGGCTGCACTTTACTACTAAGTGGGGACAGTGAGGTCACAAATACAGCATTAAAAACAATTTTTTTCTCCTACCAGAATAAGGCAAGAACCAAGAGACATACTACTGGGGAGGAGAGGGTAATAAAGGCCTGCCTCATGCCAACAGAACTGCAACAAAGCCCTCACCTTTCTTGTATGTGAGATCCTTCTACCAAGAGAACTCAGAGAAATTGTGCACTTGGCTCTGTAAAATATGCCGCTGCAGAAAATTAGTCACTGCAGGAAGATAGACCCCAAAACCCAAACCCAGGCTGTGGCAAACTCTGGATTGAACCCAGCCTGACCATGGAGCTCTTTGGCAGGACCACGAGAGCTGTCGCCTGCCTGATATGATCACCGAGGTCAAGGCCAGAAAATGGCAGGGAGAATGGTTAGTGTCAGGGGGTGGCCAGAGGCAGAGGCTGGGCAGAACTGGAGGGGGCTGAAGGATCATCCAGTCCAACTTCCTCACTTTGCAGACAGGGCGACTGAGGCCCAGTGAGGGGAGGATCATAGTTCAGGCAGTGGGAGTACTAAGGGGTCACCTCAGTACTGACTTCCTCCCTCATCATGAAGCCACCTCCCACTTAAATGGTCAAGGCTGAAAGGGGCCCAAGGTCATCCAGTGCCCTCACTCAGCTGATAAGGAGGTCCTAGAATTCCCCAAGGCATGAGGAATGGGAAGGGCAATCTTTCAAAAGCTCCCAATCCTCGGAAATGCCAAGAAACCTCATCCTCCAAGAGAAGCAGTTTCCAAACGTTTGTATTTTTAGCAGCAGAAGCCATCTTCCGAACAAAACCTTATGCAAAACCTCAGCTACAAAACAGATCAGTGGGCTGCTCGCCCACGTGGGGCCTGGGCCGGCCCTGGGCTCTCCCTCTGGCACCCAGTGCTCCTTCCACGGGCCCTATGTGGAGCTCAGTTTGAAACCTGTGGCCTTTTGGGGCCTTGTGGCCCTGCAGCTAAAGCAGCCAGATAAAGTGGGGTCTCATTTAAGAGACCTGGAGAGTGTGGCTAGTCTCTGGGACCTGGACAACTTCGTTCTCCACCAGGGCCTGGCCCCCGTCCCCATTGAGCTGTCTCATGCGCAGGTTGATGGAGCCATAGGTCTTTCTGGAGCCCCTGCCGGGGACGAAGGTCCGCCGGCGGTAGAGCTCGCCCTTGCACAGGGAGACCATGAGCAGCACCGACAGGAGCATGCCGCCCACCGTGAGCAGCCCCAGGCCCGCGATGATGCACTTGTCCAGGTGGGAGCCCAGGCGGGCATAGTACATCTCTAGTCGTTCCATCTCCCGCGCTGTCACTGTGTCCGGGTTGACGCGGGCCTCTCGGGGGATGGCGTAGGCTGTCACCACCAGGAGGATCCCACTCACCAGGAAAACCAAGGCAGAAACGAAGCCATAATCCACTGGGCGGCTCACGGGCTCCAGGCCTGGCCCCTCCTCTGAATGTAGGGACAGATCATCCCGCTGGGATCGAAGAAGTGAGGGGACACCCCCTGGGGGACTGGGAGAGCTGCCCGGTCTGGTGTTCCCAGGGTTCTGGAAATGGGTCTCATGCTCCTCCGAGGAGAAGCAGGCATTATCCACACCCTCTCTGGGTGGGGCTGCTGGGCCCGGGGGAGACGGTCTCCTTGGGACCTGGGGACCATTGCTCAGTGTCTTCAGTTCCAGACCAGGGTGAGAGGCCATTGGGAAGGAGGGCCCCAGCTCATCCCTTGGCCCCTTGGCAGCTAGAAGAGAAAACAGAAAGTCAGTTGAATTTAACAAACCTCTACCAAGTACCTCCTGGTGGCAGGACATCACACGAGTCCCCGAGCATGTGAAGGTGAGTCAGACACAGTTCCCACCTGGGGGAGCTTGTCAATGGCTTTGGGCAATTCACTTATCCTCTCTGGGCTTCAGTTTTCCCATCTATAAAATGACAATAATACCCCAACTCCAGACTTCACAGGGCTGGTGCAGGGATTTAGATAACCCATGTAAAGTACTCAGGACAGCAAGTGCTCAGTAAGTATTAGAAATGAGCTACTATTATGATGCAAGAGATTTAGACAGAGTGGATAACAGGTTCAAATCCCAGCTTTGCCACTTGAGGTTGGACAAGTGATGTGACCTCTCCAGACTCAGTCTTCTCAACTGTAAAATGGGAATAAAGAAAATGCCTCCTTCATAAGGTTGTTGTGAGGATGTCATAAAATAGTGCATGGGTGGTGGAGATGACGAAGGTGTTGTAGGAACAAAGAGGAGAAAGTCAAGGGAGCTTCTGGGAGTTGGTGGCATGTGAGGCAGACCTCTGAGGATGAGCTGGAAATTCTCTAGCAGGGAGACGGGATGAGGGCATTCCGGGAAGTGGAACGAGATGCCTCAGAGGCCAGCCGAGGCTGGCTCACAAAGCACTCTGAGCCACGCCAAGGAGCCAAAGAGTGACAAGGAGCTGAGGTATTGGAGCTGGAAGTGCTGGGATCTGCCTGGGTTTCAGAAGGCAGGAGAACTGCCGGGATGGGAGGGAACAGAGTGGAGGACAGGGGTCCAGCAAGGGAGCCAGCAGGTTGTGAAGGACAGAGCAGAGAGGGCAAAGAGGAAGGAGCAGACTTGAGCCAAGACTAAGGTCAAACTCAAATACCTTTATGTCAACAGAAGCAGGGGGAGGACACAGGGTGGGGGGGGAAGGTGAGCAGGGAGCAAGCTCTGTGCTGCAAAGAGGAGATATCCACCCAAGTACCCGAACACACACCTGCACGGACGACAGACAGCACGTGGGCATTCCCATCAAAGCATACCAACTTACAGCCTGTGGGCCATATTTGGCTCATAGAAGTTTTTGCTTTGTTTTGTTCCTGGTCTGTTCATTTGTTTTTGGTGAATTAGTTGCTAATGTATAAAAAGCAAAAGATTTTACATTTTAAACTTTGAATTTCTGGCTTCTCTTACAAAATGGAAGAATCTGGCCACCCCATTCCCTCACAGCACTCAGCTGGAGTTGGTGCCTGGGTCCTCGCCAGGTCCCCTCACCCCTTCCCCACCTGGCCTGCATGAGTCCTGATCCCACAGCGGAGCTGTGCCGTTCCATGCACACACTGATGTCCTGACGGTACACGCACCCAGGGCCCAAGGCACACAAGTCCCCACACAGCACCGAGCCCCCCAGGGGCAGAGTGGTTCACACGTTCTACATACACATGATTCTCACACTTGAGTTTATTCTCTGGTGCTCTGTGGTGTGTGTGTGAAAACACGAGCAAATGAATGGAGTGAGAATCAATGAATCGAATGAATGAAACTCAAAGCGTCTCAGTGCAGGAAGGCACATTTTTCAATCTTTCTGACCTTCCGTCTAATATGAACTTGCATCAGACACTTCCTCTTAGCACACACAGGGCCTTTCATCTGAGTACAAAGCCTGTGTCCACTTACAACCCATTTCTGTCACTACATCCCTCCTTCCAAGTCCCAATTTAGTAAATGTTTACTAAGCACCTACTACCTGTTGGGCCCTGAACCCGGCACCTCACTCAGGAGTACCTTGTGTAACCTTCACCAGCCACTCAATCAGGAATGAAACATGGCCAAGCCCCCCGTGGTGTGTATGTGGGGGCCAGGCATTGAATGCCGGTTCCCTGCAACTCTGCAAGCCCATACCAGCGTCATCACTGCACCCTCACTCCCTGGCTCTGCCAGCCCTCACTCAGAGACCCTCCCCTTATTCCAACTGTTTAACAGCAGCAGTGAGCATTTCAAGGGCAGGGATACGTCTGAATTCTGTCTGGGTCCTCAGTCCCAGCCCAGACTGCTTTCACTTCCCAGTGAATAGAAAGGAAAGGTGTGTTGGTTGGCTTTTTACTCTCAGCACCAAAAGCATTTCCTGAGTGGAAACAGGGCCGGGCAGTCGGTGCTCAGATGTGCCCCCCCCCCAGCACCTTTCATAGAACTCAGCCCATAACATGGCCCAGAAACCCCTTCCCCGACTGACATATCGATGCCTCCATATCCCAGAAGGAATCCGGGGCACACAAGTTCTGGGAGCAGGACTCTCCTTCACCCTGCAGAAACCTAAAACTTTTCAATAGGATGCCAGAGGGAGGGGGCAGAGAAAAGAGAGGTTCCTTCTCCCCCCAAGTTAGGATGTCTCTCTCTTTCTCTCATGCACAGGTTCAGCGATATGCACTAGTTAGTTACACAAGGCCATGCCGGGTCAATTACCCAAACATAAGCAAAAACAAACTGACAGCATACCGTGCCCAGCGCCCACACCCCACAACCCCACCAGTTACCCTCCGATTTCATATGTAGTCGGACAGGTCCTGAAGGAAACACTCCAGTTCCACACTCAGCCCCCCAGGGGCTGTCCCCACGCGTAGTACCCACAGGCACCTGGAAGCCACGTAGTGTGACCCACAGATCTGCGGGCCACACTAGTACGCACACCCCAGGAGGGGGCGGAACTGGTTACACATACATACATACACACACACACGCACACGCTCTCGCTCTTTACTCCTAGGACTGCTAAAATGCACGCCAGATCCACCGAGACCCGCCGGCCCAACAGCCCACCCACCGCGGGCACGGACACAGCGGGAGACGTACGCACGGTGGATGTGGGTGAAGCTTCACAATACCCAATGGACAGGCACACGCAGGAGTTGTACACAAAGCCTTGGTGCGCGCAGATACGCACACGCAGGTCCACGCTGTCATACCCAAAGTTCCGCGCAAAAGCCCAGAGCGCCGCTGCCCCCCGCGCCCGCCGGCCCGCAGTTCACACCCCCTGCTCCTGCCCTTGACCGTAAACGCGGCACGCCCGGCCAGGCCGGACCGGACCGGGCGGCGCCCGCAGCAGGGAGGCCAGGCGGCCCAGGGAGGCCGGGTTCCGCGGGGCCGGCACGCAGCGGGTGCCCTCGCCGCTTGTCCTTCGGCGGGCCGCGAGGTCAGGCTAGCTGTCCTTCGCCGCCGTCCCCCGCCTCGGGCCCTCAGCCTCCAGCCGCCCCTCGCGACACCCCCTCCGCGTGCGTACCTGTGCCGGCCTCCCTCCCTGCCTCCCACGCGGGCGGCGAAGGGCGGGCGAGGGTGCGTCCTCCCCGGGCGCCCGCCCGCCTCCCTGCAGCCGGCGCCCGCCCGCCGGGGTCTCTCCTGCGGCGCAGCCCGGAGGGCGCGGGCCTGGCCGCCACTGCCTCGCCCTCCCCGCTCCCGCCCCCTTCCCGGCCCGGCCCGGCCCGGAGCGCTGCCGAGGCGCACGTACCTGCTCGCGCCGCGCGGAGCTGTACGGCGGCGGTGGCGGCCTCTGGGGGGCTCCGGGGACGGAGGGACAGGGGAAGGGGCGGGGGCCGGGGACCGCGGAGCGCCGCGGATGGAGCTCCGCCCGCGGCCGGCGAGGGCGCCGGGAGAGTTAGCGCCGGGAGGGACGGGGAGGCGGGTGATGGGCCGGGGTGAGGGTGTGAGGGTGCCAACCCATCCTCCCTCCCCTGCGCTCAGGGCAGGTCTGCACCGCCAGCGCCCGGGCTTAGGGCACTGGAGCTTTGAGCCCGCGGTCCCCGGGCGCAGGGGCGGGGCGGGGGGGTTGCTGGAGAAGACCCCTCCCCCGCCGCCTGCCTGTCCCCACCGCCGGGCAGCCCCTATTGCGCCAACCCCAGATGCCCCTCCCCCTCCCCACCTCTGTCCCCCCCACCTCCCCACACACAGCCCTCGGGTAGGACCCCGGGTCCTCTCTGAGGTCCTTAGGTCCCGACTGTCTCCTCAGGCGCGTGCGGGTCTGTGGCTCAAGGGCGCCACCTGAAGGCTGAAAGGAGGCATCGGACGAACCCCCTCCCCCCTTTCTCTGCTCTTTTTTTCTTCTGTGGGACAGTGGAGCGCACAGCCTAAGAGGGGTGCTCTCTTGGGGCACTGTCAGTGGCCACGCACACCCTAGTCCTCCAAGGCCCAGCCCTGGCGCCTCCTCCCCTGGGCTGCCTGCCTGGCTCTCACACACGCTCGCCACCTCGGCGCGCCCTTTGCCTTTTAGCTCTGACGGGTGCGCTGTTCTGTTGAAGGGCCAGCCCCTCCACCAGACTGGAGGCTCCTGGACAACAGGGCCCATGTCTGATCCCCTGGAACCCAGCAGGTAGAGGTGGGCGAGTAGGTAGTGAGTGGGGTGACATTTCCTTCCTTTACGGGGAGAGATTAAGGTGAGTTGAGTGAAATGCCCAGAGCACAAAATTCAAGGAGACATTCCTTCTTTGGGGGCCCAGGCCAAGCCCAGAAAGAGGATTGTTCCAAAGATCATGGAGTTTCCGGGAAGACTCAGTGGCCGGCTGACTTGAGTGGCCCCAGGTAGTTCCCTTACCTCTCTTAGCCTCGGTGTCCACCTCTGTCCATGGGGATCATGAAAATGCAGGCTCTGGGGTCACTGGGACAGCCAGCAGAGGTCGGCCATCTGGGAGGACAGCCAAATGTGAATGCCCTGTCCTGGCTCCTCAGCCACCTGGCAGAGCCTGACTGAGGCCTGGGTAGTCCTCACCAACCAGGAGACTGGAGGTCACCCTGGAAGCTGGGTGCCTGTGCCTTTGAGGCCGGCATAGCATAGCACCACAGCTAGGAAGGCCATCATCTCCTCCCCACATTCCAGAGGCTTGACATGTTGTTAGGGACTTCAAAGGGAAGCTAGCTCTGGCCCCAACTCCTGTTCAAATCCCAGCTGTACCCCCACATTTGTGTGCCTTTGTGTAATGGGCTCCACTCTTAAGACTCAGTTTCCTCATCTGCAAAATGGACCTAGAATGGGTCATGTGCATTTAGATGAGACACTTCCCTTAAAGTACTCACCGTTCCTTCCCTCGGTCATGCACAGTACTGCCTCACTGCCTTTGCCTTAGCTGTTCCTTCTGCCTGGGACAGTTTTCCTCCTGATATCCCCAGCACTCACTCCTTTCCCTCACTTCCTCCATCTTTGCTTCAATGTCATCCTTCCCGGACCATCCTTTTAAAAACAGCAGCTGCTCCGTTTACTCTTTATCAACTTCTGACATCAGTTTCTTTGTTTATTGCCACCTGCACTAAAAAAATAAGTGCCAACAAAGTAGGGGCTTTGCCTGTTTCCCTCCCTGCTGTACCCCAGATGCTAGAAAAGGGACTGACACCTAGGAGGTCCTTGCTTAGTACTCATTGAATAAAGAACAGAGAAAGTGAGCAAATATTTATTGAACACCTACTATATACTAGCTAACTAGGTAGTCTAACTAGGTGGACTCCATCCCTACCCTGGAGACGCTCGTATTCTAGTGGGAGAAAGGGATACGGAAATGTAACGTTGCAGCTGTAGTAAGTGCTACGAGCCAAGGCACACAGTGCTGTGCGAGCCTCAAACAAGGGTGCCGACCTAGCCTTGGGGATAGGGATGGCTTTCCTATGAAAGTGAGGACTGAGCTGAGATGGGAAGAATGAGTAGAAGGCAGCCAGGTAAAGAGTGCAGTGCTGGAAGTGCAGCAGAGGGCTGAGCACCGACAAGATCCCTGGGGCAGAAGAGAGCATGGTGAGTATGCGAGTAGGAGACCAGTGTGGCTGCCATGGGGCGCTCGTGAAGGAACGTGGTAGGGGATGAGGCTGGACTTGGCAGCAGGCCAGGTCACTGCAGAGCCTTGTAGGCCAAGGAGTTTGTTCTTTATCCACAGAGCAGGGGAGCCACTGATGAGAATGGGGAAGGGCTTAACAAAACCTTTTCCTCAGCATGGGAATTTGACCTTTGGTTAACTGTCAAGCTCTGTTCCCTGGAAACAGATAAACATATGTCTGCTATGTTACTTAGCAACATTGCTTATGACAGAAAATGACCTCCTGAGGAGGACGCTAGAATGATCCATGTGGTGATGGATTAGAATTGGAGGTATCAATATGAATTTGTGTTTAGCTTAATGTAGATGCAGATGATGATATACAGAAATAGTCATAGATATGTATATACACGGGTTAGTATACACATGTATGTTTCCTTGCTCTATCAGCTGAAAGGGGCTAGAAGCAATGCTATTCCATAGCAACAAGCACATGCACTACTGAGATCTTGGTTTCTAATACCATTCTTCAGTAAAAGGATCCATGGCTCCTTGGAGAAATGGCTGTTTCTAGGACTTGGGCAGGAAATATACAAGATGAACCTGTAGTATAATCTTATAGGGCCAGAAAGTAACGAAATGCTAAACACACACACACACACACACACACACACACACAATGATGGGGGTATGTCAAAGAACATAGGGGCCAATTGAAAGTGTTCCCAATGACCAAAGCTTGAAAGTTTTAAGCAATAAAATAAATAAAGTAATATTAAATTGTAACAGAAAGTCTGAAATAAATATCCTTGAATCCATACTGATATAAATAACTGAACAAATATATGAACAAATGGGAAGAAAAGATAAATCTCCCACACAGAATTCCAAATTCTATATACAGATACTCAGTTCTTAAGGAGGGGGAATATAACTCCCCAATTCTTAACTGTGGGCTGCATGTAGTGACTTCTTTTCTGAGAATACATTATGGAAATGGGGGGAAAAGAGTAAGTGTACAATAGAGAAATCCGACAAACCTCATCCGGGTGATCAAGGTCAGTAGCAACAGGTCAGCACAATAGTTGATAGTATGTAACTTTGATATGATGTGATGAAAATGGCACTTCACCTGTGGTCTTCCTCCTAAAAACCTATAACCCTAGTCTAATCATGAAATAAACATCAGATAAATTCCAACTGAGGGACAGTCTACAAAATACCTGACCCATCCTCAAAACTGTCAAGGTCGTCAAAAACAAGGAAAGTCTGAGAAATTATCACAAACAAGAGGAGCTTCAGGAGACATGACAACTAAATGTAGTGAGATATCCTCAATGAGGTCTTGGAACAGGAAAAGGACATTATGTAAAAATGAAGGAAATATGAATACAGTATGGACTTTAGCTAATAGTATTGTATAAATATTGGTTCATTAATTGTAACAAGTGTACCATACTGATGTAAGAAGTTAATAATAGGGGAAAGTGGATTTGGGGGACACAGAAACTCTCTGTACCATCTTCCTAATTTTTCTGTCAATCTTAAACTGTTCTTAAAAAAAAAAATGAAGTTGTTGTTTTTAAACCCCCTGATAGGTAAATTGCATCTGGACTGGGAGGAACTATACATACCTGGTGAAAAATTCATACTTTGGGCCTCCTGAGCATGGTGATTCATGTAACTGGGTAAGGCCAAAGATGTTGGCAACTGTGGGGACGTGAAGCTTTTAAGCCAGTACTGTTCCTGCACCGCCCGATGGGGAGTTCCTCTTGCACCTGAGCGCTACTGCTTGGCTGGATGAAGCAAGGACTCCTGCCGAGAGGACACCTGATGGCACTGAGTGCTATGGCTGCAAGCTGAAGTCCTGCCCTACATCCTTTAGAGTAGGTCAAGACCAAGTGTGGCTTATGGCCGTCTGTTGAGTCTGAGTGTGGAGTGAATCTAAGAAGATCCCTCTGTGGACATGGCAGCAGGTGCGTGATTAGCAGGGGAGTGATGTGATCAGAATGACACTGTGAAAACCTTCTCCGTCTGGCTACTCCCAGGTGCAAAGGA